TCAGATGTAATACAGAAACAAATAATGTAGTCTTGTAAATCATCACCTCTAAATATTTAGATGTTTTATGAAGGTGTAATGACACCATGAGCTAACTGGGTGTGTGTTTTAAAAATTACTTTTTTTTTTTTTTTTTTCACCTTCCAAAATGGAAATTGTCATTATCTTCATCACTGGCCTACCCCTCTCCATGCTGCCTTTCTTCCCTGCTTTCGCAATGACCTCAAAATGTCCATAATTAAGGATCGCTGCTGTACATCGCACTAGGGTTCAAGCAGGTGTATAACAGCCAGTGCCACTCATACACTGGAGCATGGAGTATTTGTGGATGTTGTGTCAGTTGGATTCACTGGACTTCTTACATGAGCACTACATCTACCCTTCCGGTTCTATATGAGGCTGCACCTAACTTGGTACTGTTATTTCAGTGGGGGAAACAAGGCAGAAATCAAACAGAAGAACCATAATAACTTTAGTAATAAATAAATAAAATTCAAATCAGCCCACTCCATTAGCAGGCTAGAATCTACCTGCTATCACTCTGTTGCAAATCTTTTGAGTCTCAGTGGTTGGAGACACACAGATAATTATTCAGGGAGAAGAACCTCTCTGTACTGTGATTCTCTGAAGCACCCTGAAACTTTACAGTCTACCAATACAAATAATTATTTTTGTCAAAGTTCACTTAAATGAAAGTCAATATGGATAGCAGTATGGGTTCTGTTCTTTCTTTGAGGTAACTTTTGGTTTTGCTGAAGGGCACATTAGATATGCAAAACCAAAAGATGATCCAGCATCACAAAGAAATGAGTTCTTAGTTGGGTAAGAAAATGCTAACTGCCACAACTTCCAGTCCAAGCAATAAGGTAGAAAGCAGAAGACTGCCACGCTGAATGAATTAACTCACTTGTAGTAAGATGCTGAAGACACTTCCTTGCCAACTTCTGACAGCATATATGTTTTACTGGCTGTAACCAACATTCAGTTGTAGAAAATCTATACACTGGCTCTTATTTCCATCTCTTGCATATGTATCTATAAGATGGGATTCTAAAGACAAAGATACATCTCTTGCGTATGTATCTATAAGATGGGAATCTAAAGACGAGATACATGTGAATGATTCATAAAAATACTAGATATTTAAATGAGCAACAAAATATTTAGGGAATTCCTTGACTATCTTCAGTTTAGCAAAAATGATGTTAATGTCTGGGGAATGTTATTGGAGACAATTGTACTTCACAGATGAGCACTTTTGGACTGCTGGAGAAGAATAAAGAAGCCCACAACATGAACATGCTTATGCCTTATGAAGGAACTGAAAGTATAGGAAAGAGTCAGTCTGTTATAATACACTGACTGCTTTTTGTGGGATTAAATTGCCTAATCAGCTCCCAAAGTGCTGCACCTGATATTTCTTTCCACTTAGGCTGAACATAAAACATCTGGATAATTGTGTGGGCTGCAGAGCTGTGTAAAGACAACAGTTCCCTAGTACTCTTTGCAGGGGTAGAGTATTAGTCTGTCTATCTCTGGCCATGGAGGTTCCCAGAAGAGTTAGTGTAGTACTAAAGGTTTTAAGGAAAATATATATTACTTGCAATAAGATTCAGAATCCTTGTGTTCAGCCTGAAATGGTTTTATGGGTAGTAAAAATATAATGCACTTACCTGCATAAACTGATATGCATGCTGACCATCCCCATTCTGCTTTAGTCAAAATCTGTTTGCAAAATGATGCTTGGAGTTAGTTTGAATGAATGATGTGATCTCCAACACTTCAAACAGCATCACTGAAAATGTAGGAACTTGATCATGACCTGTGCTATATTCTTTGTGGGCATTGTCTGTAATGAGAGGTGTGAAAGCTCCATGTCTCGCAGAGCTGGCTGCTGAAACAGTCAAATGTCAACAGCGGCAAATGGCAGATGTACCAATCTGGCTATGGCAAGTGCCTGGCTTCAGCGGGGGTGATGCTCTGGAGAGACTCTGCTGGCTCCTGCATGAGGCAGGCACTCGCAAATTGACCAGGAGTCTCTCTTCTCTGCAGCTCAGTTCCTCAGATACTGACATTATTTTAGCTGCTTAAGCCTCTGTAGGATGGTATCCCTGAATGTTACATACATTAGTCTTTCAAGTGTATATAGAGAGAGGAAAAAATAAAAGGGGGGGGGAATGCTCTAAACCCAGTCAAAACCCTCTCTAAATTAATCCTTACCTTCCTTACCTCAAAGCACACTGGTCAGTGACATCTGTATCCACTCTTCCTTTCCTTCTTGACAGGCTGATGTTAGACAAGCACAGTCCTTACTGCAGAAGCTGGCTAGGGGAGCAGGGCAAGGAGAAGGAGCAGAGTTGTCCCAGAGCAGCTCACTTGTGCCCAGTCCCTATGGCACTGGCTCGGGAGGTCACTGGCAGGCAGCTTCCCAGCCCCACTGGCTTGGGGGCAGTGGCCATCTCCACTGAAACCCCTTGAGATGATCTGTTGTTTCAGGCTGTGCAGATGTTTTTTGTTATTGCAATGTAATGGCGCACCATAGGTTTATGTTTCAAATCACCCTGAGCAGTAGCACAGAAACTGGTGGGAACCCAGTTCTAGCCCTAAGGCTTTGCAGTAACTCTGATATGGTACCTTCCATGTAGGCACAGGTCTACCAAAATAATAATATTCTGGGAATGAGACATTTTCAGATGTGAGAGAAATAAATAACGGTGGGGAGGAAAAGTGTGAAAAAAGGACAAGGGAGATAGGCCTAAGGCAGTTACTAGTCCAAAAACTTGCATATTGTGGTTCAGCTGGAAGACCTTTTGTTGTTTATGGATTTGCTGAGATTTTCATAAGATCAGTAAGTTCCAAGTAAAGGCATTTCAGCCCTTGTTACTAGCCTAGTGACAAGGCAAGTCTTACCTATTATTTTTTTTTTTTTTTTTCCACTGGAAGAACAAGCATTCCTTTATAATATCTCACAGGATAGTATAAGGAGGCTTTGCTGGCTCTAAGTTAGTGCATGGTTAATGGTAAATTGCAGAACTTAATTGGCAGATGTTACTGATGCAGCAGTCTGAATGCTTCTGATTACTAAAATTTAAAGGCTGGCATACTGCTCCAGCTGTGGTCAACATTGGCAGAATGAATGGACTTCACATACCTGATCTTGCTCTCTCACACTGTATTGACTGTTGGAATTAAGAGCAGAGAAGAAAATGTTAAATGTTCACATAAAAGAGAAGCGCAACAGGCTTCCAGTAATAATCTGGCAGTAACCATGGTTTTAAAGTCAAATAAGCATGTAGCCCCTGAATGAGCAGAAGCACTCCTGAAGTGCAGTTGTTTTTATCTGAAGAATTATTCAAATGGCATTATGGAGTTTCTCATTGAATGTCGAGATGATTTCCAAAACTAGCATTTTCGCTCTGAACAGAGAAAGGGGAGAGAAAGCACACTGCCAAATCTGAAAATACAATCTGGAGTCTGAATGAGTGCAGGGTCTGTCTTTTCTCTTTTGCCTAGTAGATGGCCAAAGTTAGAGCCTTGCTTGCATCAGTTTGTTCCTAAAGTTGTTGGTAATGTCCTTGGTGATTCCAGCTCTAGTGCATGGTAATTTTTTGACCAGGTGTAAACCGTTGGACTGGGTTGGTACACAAGCAAAAGGGAAATAGATCATCTTCCCTTGTGTTGGCTCTTCACAGCTTATGACAGGAAGAACACAAGGGTTAGAAATGAAGACTCAATACAGAAATGAGGGATATCTTCTCACAGTGAGAGTTCTTAATGATACTTTCAGGATTTTGAAAACCTTCAAAAGCAGCATTATGTTTTTCCATCACCTGACAGACATTTTGAGTAATGGAGGATTAAAATATGAGATGAGTACATTAAGGAAATTAATGTACCTAGGAAATTAAGTCAAGAAAGTCTGAAAAGCATCTCTGGGTTGTAGATGTGTGTATGTGTATTCAGACTGCTCAGCTCCCTTCCATGCAGGCTAGGCTGTTACATCTTTGGAGGGGAATAGCAGACTAATGTTCTCCTTTCTGACCCTGCAGACAAGCACAAGTGTAGCTGACATGAGAACAGGAAAAGGGCAGGGTTTCCTAATGGGGTAATGGCATAATGATATCTTGCTTTGATCAGAAAGATACTAGGCATTCCTGGCCTGGGAGCACTGAGTGCCAAATGTTGTTAGACACTAAGTGTATACACTCTGTGCCATCTGGGACATGGGCTTTAGGAAAGGGGACACTCTTAACTGGTGTAAGCTGCTACCATGGTGTTGCTGAAGTCCTGGGGCAGGTAAAGTTTACGCTGGCTGATGATCTGCCTGGGTTCATTATGGTGGAGGGATGTCTAGGATTTCATTTTCTATGGTACTTTCACCATACCCGTCTCCTTTTCCCCTTAAGAATCAGTCAAAACAAAGCCCATTTTAAAAGAAATGAATGTAGAAAATGTGAAACATAAGGATCTTTTACAAAGCGTCTTTTACAGTGCTGGGGACATGAAACAGGGCAGTGGAAGATAAGCCATTATGTATGTTGAGGAAGTCTAAGAATAAAGATTATAGGCAAACAGTCTACCTTTCTTTACAAGGCCTTGATTTACATCCCTGAAATCTCAAATTTAGCTATTACAATGAAGTCCTGTTGCACACAGAGCTGACTTTTTATCACCACTTAAAATCTAATTAATCCGTATTGAAGCACAAAGATTTCTGTTGTGTTTTAGGGTGAGGGGTCATAGAGCCCTCTTTGTTCATCCTCAGGCTTGTAATCATCAGGCATTGGGATATAATTTTACCAAGCAAATTGGAAGGTAACAGATCAAACCCTTATCGGAAAGCCTAACTCATGGTTTAGTGAAGTCCTTCGTCCTTTATGTGAAACTTTATATTTGTGAAGAACAAAAAAGTGTTTCAGAACCTACAAAGGGTTAATAGCAAGGGCTTATATTTGGGGCAGCAGAGAATTAAAGTCATCATAGCTTCCACCATCACTCAAGGTAGCCGTTGTTACAGAACTGCTGGGGAGACCTTCCTCCTCACGCTCTTAAGACTCTGCTCTTATAATGGCCTTGGTCTATCGACCAATGATGCAGTTAGGTGGCATTCTCTTCTCACTGTTGGGATGGGTCCTATCCTGTCTCACTACCTACTTACCCCAGTGGAAGAACCTTAACTTGGAACTAAATGAACTGGAGATCTGGACCATGGGACTCTGGCAAGCTTGTGTTGTCCAGGAAGAAGGGGGAATGCAGTGCAAGGACTTCGATTCTTTCCTAGCTTTGCCTCCAGAGCTCAGGTTTTCTAGGATTTTGATGTTTTTTTCCAATGGATCGGGGTTTTTGGGCCTCTTGCTCTCGGGATTTGGGTTGGACTGTTTGAAAATTGGTGAAAGACAACAGGAACAAAAGAAACGGCTGTTGCTGTTTGGAGGAATGCTCTTCTGGATATCGGGGATTACAGCTATTGTCCCAGTTTCTTGGGTTGCCCATTCCACAGTCCAGGAATTTTGGGATGAGAATATACCAGATATTGTTCCCAGGTGGGATTTTGGGGAAGCGTTATTTGTTGGCTGGCTTGCTGGATTTTGTCTTCTATTAGGAGGAGCCTTACTTAATTGCACAATCTGTTCAACTGAAGTCCATCCATCTTCGGTCCATTATACAGTAGCAGAACAGCAAGATCAGTGTCAACACTTGGAAACTGAAACTAGGCCTTAAAATTGAAGGTTTTAAGTAGTACAGAAAGACTGCCCTATCTTTTTCAAACTCTAGTGCAAGCCAGAAGCTTGTTCCAGTAGTAATTCAAAGGACTCTTTGTTACCTAGCTGATTTCCTAAATTTATGTCTGTTTTCTCCATAATTGGTATTGGAAGGTGGTATGTTTTCTCACCTGCAGAACTGTTTAAAACTTTGTTTCACTGCAGAACGCTGACATTTTCATAGACTGCACAGAAAAGGTGTGTTTGCTTTCTCACTGCACTGTAAAATCCTGAAAATGAATATGCACGTTCCCTTACAGCTTGGCTTTTAACCAAAGTATGCTTCCTTTTCATATGCAACCAATTAAATTAGCCTCAAAGCTGGACTCCCTGTTGCAATTATCCACTTACCTAATGCAGTGATGTACCAACTTGAGTGTTTTCACACCCTAAATAGTCTAAATACATGCATTGCATCAAATTGTTTTTCTGTGTACTTGGAAATGTTGTGCTAAGAAAACTGTAGGTTTCTGAAATTCTAGCAAGCTTTGCAGATGTCTTTTCGTGCATGGGGTGTTATGAGGGGGATGCTTTTTATCAAAGAAGTTGTGTTTTCCCAGTCTAGCACCTTAAGCTGCCCGTACAAGTTATTCTATGCATTTTTGGCACCTGCATACTTTATGCACCAAAAATAGGCTGAGAAATGCTGCTTTAAGAAAAAATATTTAACCTGTATTGAAGAAGATCATGTATTGAAACATTATGCATGCTATCAGAGGTTCCTTAAACTCCATTCACTTACGACACCATGGTGCTCTGAACATCTAACCTTTGACTTCAAACACATTATATTTAACAGGCCACAAAGCAGAGAGCTTCAGTTGCTCTAAGTAGAAATGTATCAATGTGGTATTAAAACTTAGTTTAGTAACAAACTGTGAGATGCTAAAATTAGCAGAACTGTTGTAATACTTTAGCAGACTAATGGAAAGCAAAATGCATGCTTTTCTTAAAAAAACAAAATTAGTGAAAGGTTTGACCAGCTGTGGCCATACCCTTCAGCTACTGGTTTACCTTACTACCTCCCTATCCCCCAAACACTGCACATGGAACCAGGCAACACAAAGCAGGAGGGGGAGGAGTATTTCATGCTTTATAAAGCATTGTTTTAACATTTGCTTATGTTCAGTATGACAAAGAATTGAGCAGAACCATGACTGCAAAAGCAAGCAGTTTAGTGCTGCTGTGACTGCTAAAAAGGAGCTTAGCCCAGACACAGGCTATAGTGAGTTGAATTTCTGTTGTCTGTACTAGGATGGATTTTTAACTGGTACCTCTAACTATTTACCAGACTGGAAAAAAATCTCAACTTAGACTTAAATGTACTGGAACTTGGACCATGGGACCCTGGCAAACCTGTGTAGTTCAAGATGTAGGAGGAATACAGTATAAAGATTTTGATTCTGTCCTAGCTTTGCCTCTAGAATTCAAGATTTCCAGGATTTTAGTATGGACTAGGACTTCTGAGCCTTGTGATCTCTAGTCTTGGTTTGGATTGCCTAAAGATGGAGGATACAGAGCAGAAACTAATGAAACAGCTATTACTACTTGGAGGAGTACTCCAGGGGATGCCTGGAGTTCTCACCTTAGGCCCTGGTTTCTTGGGCTGCCCATACCAGGAGTCCAGAGATGAAGACAACCCAGAGATTATGTCTGGATGCAAAATAGGGGATGCACTGTTCAGTGGCTGGTTTCGTGGAATTTTCAGAATTCTAAGGGGATGTCTGCTCCTCTCCACAATCTGCTTATCACCTGACTATCAATTACCCCAAGCAGTATGCAATGGCAGATATGCAAGACACCCACGAACATCTGGAAATTGGAAACAGAAGACTCTGAAAAGGGTAGATACCAGGTTTTCTTGCATTACAATAAGAATGATCTGCTGGACAAGTTACTGTTTACAATCAGGAGAACGGATTGTTTTTTACTAAGTAGTTCCTTTTAATCTCTACTTACCTTCAATTTTAATTATATTAATTGATGAGGTATGGAGATCCAAGTCAACACTATTTCTCCAAAATCTGATGAATTGCAGATTTTGTTTTGGTAGTTTTTTATAAGGATAAGTGAGTATAAAATTTTTAATCTCTAGGCATTGCATGGAGAATTGACCATATTTTTAAATAGCAGAAGTCCTACTGGGACTGCATTAATGTATTTTTTACAAAATTATTTACAATACTTTTTTAAGCCCTGAAACAGGTTGTAGTGCCAGTTCAACATGTGTTACAGAACCCTAATACAGTACAACGCTGAATGAAGTTCCCTGGACCTGTATTATTTACAGTAAACTAAATGTTCTCAAGACACAATGGCATGTAATACAAGATTCCCCCCCCGTGGCTCACAGTGGAGAAAGAGAGAATGCATCCCTGCACACACTCTCTCTAAGGAAAGCCAGTATTTCTGAATGATAATAACACATTGTCCAGTGGAGATTTGACCATGTTCATTGCTACTGCAGTTTTTACTTAATGAATGTAAAGAACTAACTTCAATTCAAGAATCTGTTCTATATAACTTACCCTAAGACTTGTCAGTGATTGATGTGAACTTTATACAAATTGCAATGATTTTACATTGACAAAGCTGTGGCAGCCATCTGTTTCTGCAAAGAGCATACAAAGATAGAGAACAGCAATAAAAGAATTAAATAAAACACTGGTCTGGAAAAGAGCTTTGTTAAAAAAATGTATTTTCCAATCACTGAAACACATGGAAAGTGCAGAGACAAGTTAATCTATGTGACATACTTGCATCCTTTTACAGACAAAATTAGAACAGAAACACATTCAGAATATAACCTGATTAAATATTTAGTTCAGTCCTGAGCATTTGATATTTAATACAATATAAACATAGCAATAGTACAAAAAAAATCGTAATTATTTGATTTGTGTTCTATTACAATTTCTGCTAAACTTTGCTCATTTGGCTAAATATTCTTGTACCAGTAATATTTAGATTTTGATATATGCAACTGCAGTGAAATTGGTACCTGGAAACAGAACTAATTACACTTGTTATACCCTGCTGTGCACAGTAAATTCCTCTTCAAGAGCAATACTTAAAATTTTAAACCAATGGGGGTTTATTGGTATGTGTGATTTTTAGCTTATTCTAGTGAGTGTTTCAACTGTGAATAATCTGAATTAGTAAAAAAACCCCAAACTCCAAACCCAGAATTGTTAAAAGCTGCCTATATATATATGTTGAACTTTACCTGTTTGGAAAAAAGGGAGCATCAATATGTTTGTGTCTCATTTTTAAATGAGATTTGCAAGCTAAAGTCAGCAATACTTAAATTTTGACCTCACCTCATGCTTACAAATCAGAAGGTAATACTTTTTTTTTTTTTTTAAATTAGCTCTTTCTCCTCACATATTGAATAATCTGGCAAGAATTTAGACAGCTCAATGTTTTTCACAATAGCATCCTTAATGTAAAATATTTTTATGGCCAGAACTGAACTATATTAAACAGAACATAAATAAGACTGTAAATAAATAAAAGAAAAATCATAAAGTACACCTCTAAACATAATTCTACAAACAACTTATATAATCAAATTAAGAAGTTGAAACTGTCAACCTTCATTTCACCTCTACATTAAATAATTCCAGATTTTGTTTTTTTTAAAATTGACCTTTCAAACATGAATGTTATCTCAAACCCAAGAAACAAAAAACAAATGAGGCATTCATAAAGGATGTTCATCAGTCATCTTGCCCAAAATAGCATATCTGGCTATACATTTAAGTGAACTGATATATGTGTGCATAAGAAAACCCTTGGGTGTTACACAGACCTCTCATCACAGAATTGTCACTTTGAATTTAAGACAGCTGCTACCATATTGTGGTTATATTTGCTTCCATTTTCTCACCAAGTAATTATAGCCTTTTTGAAAGACAAAGTCCATGCATATGTGGCTTGTTGCCTGGGGAAGAAAACTTTAGCCAGTGAATTAAATAAATCTGAGTGCAACATATTAAGTAGAAAATGAAATACTTCTGTTATCTGCAATGTCCACCTACTTAGTACCCACAGAAGAGAAGACGCCAACTGCTTTTACCAAGAGAGGCTGCTTAAACACCTACATCTAATGTTCTGGACTTCTAACAGAATGCATCCAAGTTGATGCTTCTTCCTAGCAGGCTGCTTCGTGTAAGACAAATTTGAAACATGCTGTTTACGCCTAAACCTGGTATCCTCAACTACATACAGGGTCAAAAATGTTATTTACTGTACTGAAATATGTGAAGACTTCTAGTCGGGAGCTTTTATTTTTTCAGAAAGGGTTTACCCTACCAACAAGACTCCTGATATCTGAGTTAGCATGTGACATTTTTCTCCTGGTACAAATACTTCAATGAAACATCTTCCTATCTGTAAACCTAACAACACTTTTACGTATTCTTAGTTGGCAGTGAGACAGCCTCTAGGACAAAAGATTAACATAGAGAAACTGTCATTTTTAAGCGTACAGTGGATATAACTACTCCAATTTCAAGGCTGGTATTATGAATGTGATTCAACTTCCACTTCAGAAAGCAGCTGCCCCTTTTGGTAGTCTCATAATAAGTTTTTAGGGTTACTTGTCTGCCTTACCTTTCTCACTCTCCCGCAGTTGCAAGAAACCTTTTAGTGCAGGTTAAAGTACTGTACATTCACAAACCTAAACGCCAAACTCTGTCTCTTCCTACAAAGTATTAAAAAACAAAAACAGAAAAAAAATCTGTTTTCAGGAAAAAAAATTCCAATGTGGGTGATGAATCTAATTAGCAGCTGTTGTGAGGCAGCCTTGATGTTTTGGAAAGGAGCTTACGCTTGTGGTTAACTTTAAACTATAAAAGTCACACTCTTGTACAAAAATATTGCATGGCAAAACAGCCATCTTCACAGTCTGCTCACATGAAAATAGTGAAAAGATAAACAATCTTCTGTTGAACATAATATTTCTCAACACAGTGCAGTTCAACAGGATACAAGCTTAGTACTGCCTTTGTTCCTTTGATCCATCTTTACAAAATAAAAACACACATGCAATACATACAAACTGTACAAAATCAGCATCAGTATACCAAAATTAATCTACTTTGGTTTTCTGGTGGTTGTGTGGGTTTTGCCATTTCTTTTAAGCATACAACAATTCAATTCACTATATTTTACAAATAAACATATCGATAGTGAATGTAAAATAGAAGATCTTTAAAAGCAGGTCACTGGAACTACAAAGTTCATCTGAAAAGAGATGAACAAGTGGAAAAACACTTCAACGAAAATGCATAATTATACATCATCAGCTGGAAGGGCTGGTATACTGATCTTTGCTCTTGTGAAGTATGCTATCTTCTCCCTGAAATTAGAAAAGAAAACAAGTTATTATTTTACTATTTATGGCATGATTCCAATGTAATCTGCTGTGGAGTTGTTAATGTTACAGCACAATTCTTTAAAATATAGGTTTGGAAATTATACAGTGAGCAAAATACACAGAATTTATTTACAACAAATGTAGCACTCTGACATAATTCCCTTCTCAGGCAGATTTATGTAAAAAGCAGATGCAATTTAGAAAATTAAAAAACATATCAATATTTCATTAATAACTACAATGATGAGACTGAAATATTGATCTAGTCACTGACTTTTCCATGATGATACTTTGGGAGGTGTGAGGGGTGTGTGTAGAGGGGATAAAAAGGCAAAATAAAACACTTTATCCTGACTTGGGAAAAGGCGTGGGGAGATGGAATATGGCTCTGAGCAAGACTCAGAGAAGCAGAATTTTCAACCCATTCTCTAGTTGCTTCCTCTGTGCTGTTACATTCCTGTCTCCTATGAACTGAGAGATAACTGAAGCATAACAAGTTTACACAAGCTTGTCTGCCAGCAGCCTAGAAATCAGATAAGTATTGGGGGCTTAAAAATTAAAGCTCAGATGGGTCATTCTTCTTGAGAGCTTCAAAAATTCCTCTGTGTGATTAGTCGGTGAGGCCACAGCACTGTGACAAGTCCAACTAGCAGGGCTTGTACTTTTCAGTCATAGGAGGTCGCTATTTGTCCAGTAGACTAAACCATGTTTTCCACTGGAAAAGCTTGAGTTCCCATCAAAAACAGTAGTTCAAAGCAAAATCAACCATGTAAACTGGATTTCTCAGCTAGTTGTGTGGTCATTATAAGATAAAAGGAGAATGGAGCCTTACGATACCTTTCTTGCAGGGGCATGATGCCTTGAGCACTATTACATGTCTCTGTAGATTTGGGCAGCAGTCTGTTTGTAATGACTTTTACATGACCAGCACTGAATAAAACTGTCTCAAGACTTGCACAGAAAGTGGAAACTGTATGAAGATGCTCTGCATTTGATACTGAAAATAAATAGCTCGGGTGTAACACTTCCTTGCTGAGGAACCCCTTTCCTTTCTCTCTTGGTTTGATTCTGCATCACTTACCACAAACCATAACTGTATGTGCCTCACAGGCCCCTATTTGCTTAT